GGTTCTTTGAGAAGATGAAAAATTGAAAACTTTGATTAATATGAAAAAAAAGGGACTCAAATTACTAAAATGAAGAATAAAGGAGAAGGGCTGGCAGTGTAGCTCAGTGGTAGAGTACTGACCTAGCATATACATGGCCCTGAGATCAATCCCTAGTACCATAAAAAAATGGAATAAAAGAAAAACATTATTACCAGCAATTAAAATTTATTAATACACATTTGCAGTGCATAATGCTTACCCTCCTTGTATATGTACCTAACACATTTTAATTCCTTTTTATCACATTTTTCCCCTTCCCTCCTTCTTCTAGATGTTAAAAGAATTATAAAGGATTATTATGGATGATTATAAAAAATTAAATAATCTAGATTAACAAATTCCTAGAAAGACAAAGGGCTGCCCAAACAAGAAACAGAATATTTAAATAGACCAATACTAAGGAATTGTCCCACAAATAAAGACTTCTATTTGGGGTTCTACAAAAGTATTAAGGAAATATAAAAACAGACACTTCTAAATAATAGAAGATGGGAAAAAAAATCCAAATTCAGAGGGGCTATTGTTACACTAATCTACTATGACCAAGTGAAAATTATCTCAGTTTTGTGAGGTTGATATACTTAGAATAATCAATACTACATACCATATTAGTAGAACAAACATAACCGCTTCAAAAGACACAGAAAATAACACTTTTAAAATCTATTATCTTTTAATGATTTAAAAATCTCAATAAATTAGGGAGAGAAGAGAATATCCTCAACGCAAATAAGATGGTCTACAAAAAGCTAACAGCATACTAAGTGGTTAAGAATTGAAAATTATCCCCCTAAAGTAAGGACTAGGCCATATTCCACACTGTCAGCTGAAATCAAGCCTTGAGATAAGAGAGTATGACTTCCCAGGGAATAAAATATTACACATCTGTGGTGAAGAACTGACCCCAGAACGTTCGGTACTACCTCAGTTGGGTTATGCAGATCACTCCTTCTGTGTATCCTTCTCTCTCCATATTGCAGAGGTGATTTCAGGCCTCCTACTCAGCCTAACCCACAGCACTCACGTATTTCCTGCCATTCTCAGTCACTCATCCTGAGGCCACTCCCTTCTTCATGAATTAATAAAACCTGGATTTGGCCCTGGGTCAAAGCCTGTGTTTTGGTTAGCTATCATCGTAGCTGGACTTAGGACCCCTTGGCTCCCCATAACTACAAATTTGCCTTAGTGTCTTTATTCTAACCATGCGTTGCACTGGAAGTGGTAGATTGCAATTAACTCCTAGTATTCTACCAATTTTCCCATGGGATTACAAATATAAACTTCTGAGACCACGATGAGGATGGAGAAGGGCTCTCTATAAAAACATTCTTGAAAAAGAAAAAGAAAAAATGGAAGGCTAAAACTTTCCAATTCCAAAACTTACTAAAAAGCTGCATTAAGACTGTGTAGTATTGAAATGGGCACTATATTCAGAAGTCCAGAAATAAACTCTAACATTTACTATTAATTGAGTTTGGCATGTGTTCCAGGACTTCTTAATGTAATGGTGCTGGGACAACTGGATATCCACATGGAAAAGAATGAAGTTAGAATCCTCCTGTACATCATATGCTAAACTGGACTTAAAAATGGTTCAAAGACCTAAATGCAAGTACTAAATAGATAAAATATTGCAAGGAAATATAGGTATAAATGCTTGTGACCTTGATTTGGCAATGGGTTCTTAGATACAATATCTGAAGCAAGCAAGAAAGAAGAGAAATTTTATCAAAATTAGACGTTTGGTCATCAAGTGATACTATTAATAAAGTTGAAAAGACAACCTATAGTTGAGAAAATGTTTTTAAACCATATATTCAATAAACCTTTAGTATCAAAATGTATAAAAATCACTTAAAACTCAGCAATAAGACGAATAACAAATTTAAAAATGAAAAAACAGCCTGGTATAGTGGCACACACCTGTAATCCCAGTGCTCTGAAAGGTTGAAGCAAAAGGATAATATGCTTGAGCCCAGCTTGGGGAACTTAGAGACTTAGTGATACACTGTCTCAAAATAAGAAAATAAAATGGAAATTGAGGATGTAGCTCAGTGTGATGTCACTGAGTTCAATCCTCAGTGTCCTACTCCCAATAATAAAGTATTCAAATAAGCTGTTTATTCAAAGAAAATGTAGAAAGAGTAAACCTATAAACGCCTGCTTAACATTGTCATTGAGCAAATGCAAATCAAACCCACAATGAGACACCACCTCAAAACCACTGGCTTTGTCAAAAAGAGAAAAATAGCAGGTGTTAGCAAGGGTGTGGAAAAATTGCAATCTTCATGAATCTCTGATGGCTTATACAGTGTAATATTTCCACTGTGTCGGAACAGTAAAACTTTTCCAAATGTTAAATTGGTGGTAAAATATGATTCAGTGATTCCATTCCTAGGTAAATATTCAAGAAAATTGATAACCATAAGTTCACCTAAAGATTTATATACAAATATTTAGAGCATCATTGTTTCAATAGCTTCAAAGTAAAAGCTAGCATAATATCCATCAATTAATGAATGGATAAACAGAATATATGCAATGGAATACTATTCAGCTACTCCAAAAGAATTCTTAACTGATATATGCTACAACATGGATGAACCTTGAAAACATGTTGACTGAAAGAAGCCAGACATGAAAGTTGCATATTTGATGATTATATATTAGGAAAATTCATAGAGATAGAAAATACAGTAATAGTTGACAGTAGTTTGATGGAGGGAGATAAAGAATCACTTATAATGGACACAGGATTTCATTTTGAAGTGATGAAGATAATCGAGACTTCTGTAACGGTAGTTGCACGACTTGTGAATGTACTAACAATTCCTTCATCGTATGTAAAGTTTAAATGAGGCAATTTATGGTATGTGAATTATTGTTCCATAAAATCTTGCTAATTATATAGTCAAATACTTTAACAAATCTACGACACCATTACAAACTAGAAAGAATATGAAAAAAAATCTAAGAAAATTAGACTCATCAGAGAAAAAGATAACACATATTTGGTCATCTAAAATTCAACACTTATATATGGTAAAAATATCACAAACTACACTGTAATGCTGAAGAAAGCTACAGGGTTACCATGAATAGATAAAGAACTCTTTTAAATTGGAATAAAAGTGACAAAGCAATGGAGAAATGGACAAAGGTAATGAATAATCATTCATAGGAAAGTAAGTACATAAGGCTAACAGATAAAAACATTCACTAGTAGTCAGGGAAATGCAAATTAAAGTAATAATTTAAATCAACAAGACTGGAAAAGGCTAAAGTTAAATGGCACCCATACATTGCTGATAGAAATGTACAGTTTTACAGCCTTTCTGGGAAGTAATCTGACAACACTGATTGAAATGCAACATTAATTTACTCACTTCAGCAATCTCTTATTGCCTACTCCACAGCAATAAAAGCATATATACAAGTATCTTTATTTCAGCATTCGTCAAAGTGACAAAAACAAAAGCAGAGACCTAGAATAAGTAAAGAATTACATTTATTAGGGGAAGCCTGAATAAATTATACTATATCCACTTCATAGAATATTATAGTGAGTTAAAATTAATGTACTACTTTTACCCAAGATGACTGGAAATATTTCCTAACATTATTTTTTATTTGGAAAAGCATGATGCAAAACATTTACATAATATAATTATATTAAAAGTAATGACAAAATCCCCAACAGTATATGTGTGTATTTGTATGAACATGAGAAAACATAGAAGGATATATTTAGGGGTAATACGAGTTATCATGAATTACTTGATAGAAGGAAAAGGAGAAAGGAGGATGAAGCAAAAAATGGGAAAAAATAAGCCTTCAGATTTTGATCACATTTATATAAATTATATATTCGTCTACATATGGCATTTGAAATTAATATATAAAATTACATCAAGAATGAATTGAGAAAATTTATATACATTTAATTTTCTCTATGAAGTGAAAATATCATAAAAATAAATATCATTATGTAAGATTAAACTTTTTTAGTAGTAGGAAATGGGGGTTATATATAGTCATTCTAAGAAACCCCCTACAGTTTAAAACTGAAAATAGCTCAATCTTAGGTAAGTCATTAATGAAAAAGTTACGTCTCATTTTCATTTCACTTTGATATATGATACTGAAATTGATAAGTGATGAATAACCTTGATAAGTGAGATTACAGAGGTAGTAAGAAACATCATATAAGACTCCCGTCGAAAATTTAAGACTTAACTTTGTACTACAAATACCACAAGTCTATTAGGTTTGCAATTAAACTATTCAGTCAACTTCCAGAATCCTACATATGTCATAAAAATGAAGTGTTGAAAGGAGTTTATAGTTTAGTGTGAAAGAAAAACATAGCAGGATTATGCAGTCATTGATACATTAATGATGCACTTCCTGATTATAGCTGGGAGTTTCTACTCACTGAACTCATAGCACTTAATTTTTCATTGATCATACTTTGAAAAGTAAGAAAATCAGAATATATGCCAAGTATTTTAATGATGTCATAAACTTAGGGTTACTAAGCTCATAGTAAGGGCACAGATTTATTAGCTACAGTCAACGAATTATTTACCAGTTCTGGACACGTGGTTCAGCTAAGAGATTTGAGTAGTTTCTACCCTTCTAATCACTTCACTGTTTCCTTTCTCTACCTCCATCAATAATCACATCTGCTTTGTTATCACTTCAAGATACCTTCTTTTATTCCACAAAACAAATTAATTGATAATTTTTCTGACATTTTTCTGGCTTCCTTGGACCTACCATGGGAAGACATCTAGATTAGAAAATTTCAGGTTCAGAAGACCTTCTTAAATGTAAGCACTGGAGGCAATCACAAAGGCAAAATAAACTATTTTTACCAATAAATAGTGAAGATTTAAGCATCTTATAATAAAGAAACCACACCAAATCCCCAGCCTTCAGGGAGACATGGCTTAAAAATGATTGTAAATCCAAAAGTATTACAGGTTTGGTTCAAAAACCATAGGGTAAAACTCTAGATGGCAAATATATACGCATGTTCAGCCAAAACTCTCAACAAAAGCAATGAAGGGAATCTTCGTCTAGTCCTTCAAAGGGAAACATGGACACACCACCAAGATTCCCTAATGGCATCTATACTATATCCTTAGTTTAGGCAGATCATCTGGCACCCTTGTTCCAATTCAGCATCTGCTCCAAATTTACTGCTCCCAGAGACCACTGGGTTGTTCACAAAACAGTCCACTTTGGCTGCTGCTTCACTTCCAACATGTACTGCTTCCATCCCATTTTGGAATCTGAAGTTCTTTCCGCACTTTACTTTTAATTCATTTGGCTCTTCATCTCTTCAAGTAACTTATTGAGAAGGTAAGGTAGACATAAAATTCCACATACTATAATTATCTGTAGTTATCCCCATGCAAAAGTATACTTTACAGCAATAAAAGAAACAAATTACAGATATACGAATGGATTTCAAAAACATTTTGCTGAGTAAAAGAAAAAATACACAAAATATATATATTCTAATTTCATTTATGTAAATTGCTAGATCAGGGAAAACTATTCACGTAAAAGGCTGATTGATGACTGCCCATTTGATGGAATGAGCTGTATGAAAATAGGCACCAGATGAAAATGTTCCTTGTCTTACCTAGGGTGACAGTTACCTGGTACATAAGTGTACATAAACACATAGAATTTTACATCTCAAATCTGTGCATTGTACTTTTCAAAATTATACTTCAATTAAAAATAAATATATAAAAACTGAATATAGTTTTGCTGCTTCATCTCTCTATTTCTGTGCAGTGTCTTACACATTGCAAAAAGAAACAACACGGGGGCTGGGGATTTAGCTCAGCGGCAAAAGTGCCTGCCTGGCAAGCGCAAGGTTGTGAGTTCGGTTCCCGGTACCAGAGAAAAAAAAAAAACAAAACAAAAAGAAACAGCACAGTGACTACGTACTTTGGCATACTCCCTAACCTGCTTTATGCTGTTGAAATTTTGAATGGACTTTCCATTAAAGAAGAAGAAACAAAAGGAAGAAAGGGAAGGAGTTGGAACAGGGACCCATTTTCTGACTAAATGCCAGGGACATGATCAATTTATGAAGAAAACAAATTTGGTTTTACAGAATCTAACATTTTCATTATTTCTCACTATTCATAGGACCAAGGGAGACACTCAGAAATCAAGCATTTCTATAATCAACTGTTAGTTTTACAAAGGTTAGATCTGGCTATGATGTTAGACTTTTGGATCCTCAACCTCGCCAGAGACCCTTGCACACAGGTCTTATGGATGCCTAGTACAATCCAAGCCCGTAGTATCTTCTAATAGAAGGAGGAAATCTCAGTATTGGCCTAGAGTGCTGAGCCTGAAAGTATAAAAAAGACTCTAGAATGTTCTCTTCCTTTCCTTTATTTCTCATCTTTTCTACTTGGCTTGATTGTAGATATATTAAGTTCATTCAGTGGCATATTTATAAAGTGTTTTGAAATCCAGCTGTCAATAATCAATAACCTGAGGCTTGAATGTTCCTGGGGTAAAAGTCCCTTGTGTAGAAATTAAAGGCTGAGCTTTTATAAAGAGTAATTAAAGGTAATAGTGACTGAATGCAAGGTTGAGATCCCATCATCTGTACTAATTCCAAAATATAGTTTAAGTTCCTTAGATGGAGAAGCTGGCAAACCATATAAAGAATAAGAAGCTGGAGTGCAGGTATTTTAGTGAGGAACAAAAACTCTTAACAAAAGTTATTTGACATCATTATTTCTAATAATATAATATAATAATCTAGTTGTATGTTTTTCATTCATTAAAACAATGATGACATATTTAACAAAGGCATATGTAATGTACTTCATCTGTGAAAATCATTTTTCATTCATTTAACAAATACTGAGAACGTAATATGTGCCAGGGATTCTTTTCAGCACCTGCCATTACATGAAAAAATCAGACATCTTACAAATCTGATGGTGATAATTACAACATACAAAATTTAAGAAAGGCAGAGGATGGAAGGTGAAAGAGACTTCTGTATTGGATCAAATGGTTAAGGAAGACTTTGCTGATGAGGTAACATTTGGCCCTAGTGGAGGAATATTTCAGATAGTTAAAGGAGCAAGTTCTAAATCTCTAAGATACAGGGTTGAAAAAAACTGTCATAGATTGTGACATTCACAGCAAAAAGCAACCCAGGCAGGGGAGGTAAAATGAAACACAAGTGAAAAAGTTATTTTTCAATTAAGATTGTTTGTGCAGGTTTAGCTGGTAATGTACTACTGATACACAAGTTCTCAATAAATATTTCTAATATAATGGTCTCTGTAATTGCAATGGGCACCAATTATCAGCTGAATCTAATATGAGAGCTCTTATCATTTAAGAGATTAAATGTTGAAGTGCCAGGCACAAATAAAGATAGAAATTGTTCAAGATTGATAAACTTGGGAGAGAGAAGTAAAGGGCAGAGTGGTGATCAGTAGCGAAATTTAGTCTCTGGAAGCTGGAATCCAAACATTGGAAAATAATAACTTGGGGAAGAAAAGAAAGAGAAATAGGTCACTGGGATTTGGGAAGGAACTGACAGGAAAATCAGAAGCTACCAAGAAGTTGGAGAGATTGTACACAGTGCAGAGAAAAGAACAAAACAACCTGGACTCCTCCAGCTGACAGCTCATAGGGAGGGGAACCTAGGTGCCAGAAACCAGGTAAGAGCCTAGGGCTGGGAGATCCAGGGAGAAGTGATGGCAGTGCCCCTAGCTATTGTGAAAGGTGTGTAGGGTTTTTCTCTGAGGGGATTGCCTTAACAAGGCAAGCAATTGTCAGAGAGAGACTCCAGGGCAGGTGCCCACCAGATCGCCAGAGTGCTTGATCAGGCACCATTTTGGAAAGTGTTAATGATTTAAATCCGGAAGGCAGAACTAAAAAGCAGCTTCCCTCCAAGGCTCCTAGTGTTGCCCCCACACACACACACTGTGAATGGGTGAGAGACAGCCAACGGAGAAAGCCACAGTCAGGGAGCAGGCTGGAAATAGATCCGCTGAGTTTAACTCCAGGCTGGGAAAAATACAGGTCCTGCACCCTGCAGTGCGAAACCAGGTCTGGCTTGAGTTGTGCTCACAAACTGGGTCTGAAAGTGCTGGCATTAAGTACTTGACTCCTTGCCCTGCTGCCTACATTGACGACAGATCTGAAGTCTGACTGTCTTCCCTATCAACCAAGGTGAGCAAAAGCAAATCTTAATGTGAACATTCCCACAACAAGTGGTGGCTCTGCAATAAGGGGCGTCTTACAAACCCGTAGGCCATAAGACTAGATGGAGAAAACACTGACTTGCTGGACTCCAAAATCGTAGATAGTAGAAGGAAATTATTCATTCAAAAATACATTTGTTTTCATTTTTCTATTTTTGGACTCATTTTCTTTTTTTCCCCTTTTCCCCCCAACAGTTTGTTGGAGCTTGGGAATGTTTTCTTTGCACGTTCTGTCTTTCTCTTTTTTTCCCTTGTTTCACCCTTTTAATCTTTTTTCTTTTTAATTTTTCTGTTTTGTAATTCTTCATTCTATTTCTTTTTCATCCATTTTTTTTTTATTTTCTATTTCTTGGTAGTCTTTTCTCTGTTACTTTTACCCTTCTGTTTCTCAATAGGACCTTTGCCTCACTGTTCATTTAATTTATCAAATTCTCTTCATCTAAATTTTCAAGTTATTCTTGAACAGTATCAATATGAAGCTTTATTAATCTTTAAATAGTTGACTTTATGTTACTACGGTTGATAGAATTCTTTCTCATTAGTAGAGTTTTAGTTATGACAATTAGTAGATATTAGCTGTACTTTAATAATTTCTTTCTCTGAGTGTTTATAAATGTAGATTTCTTTTCTAAGTTTAAGGTTGGTACATTGTTGGTTCTTAAGGTATGTAAATAACCAGTTCAGCTTGGACAATATTGCTGATTATAAAATATTGTCCAAGATTTGTCACCAGATTCACATGGTATTACCAGGGTCACATAGTTTGTTGTTATGAGTAGGTTTGTTTTGTATGCCAATATGCAGATTATGTTTGTGACAGTAACAATACTGAGGTCCATGTCTAGAGAACTGGGTGTTGGACCAAGTGCACTGCATCCTCCTCTCACAAATTAACAGGGATGGTCAGATCTTGGGACAGAGCAATGCACTATAGTTAGCAAAACCCTGAGTGCAACGTTGAAATGGAGACTAAATAATGACATATCCTTACTAGCAACAAAGTTGTTCTACTATAGGTAACCACAAACCTAACCATGAAACACAACAAAAAAAAAAATAGAAACATGAGAAAATATGAAAACAATGAGAAAACATGTCAACAAAATGCCTCACAAAACTGTCAACTCTCCCAGAGTCAATCCATAGGATATTGAGGTGGAGTAAAGCAAAACTACAGCAGAATTATTGGAAAGGACAACTGAAGAGTTTCTAAAAAACAGACCATTAAGAAGCTTTGCAGGCTTATAGGAAATATAACTAAACAGATAATAGATGTAATAAATAAAAGTGTCAGCAGGCTTACAGAAGACAGTAATACAAATCTAGTTGAACTAAACAAAATAATACAAAACATAAGTGACCAGTTTAGCAAAAAATTTAAGTCCATGAAAGGGATCCAGATAGGAATCCAGGAGACTGAAAATTATATTGGGCAGCAGAAGCAGCCAATGTGAGGAAAGAATATCAGAATTAGATGACAAGAGAACTTTGAAAGATGAATTACACAGAGATACTTTAAAAACAATAAGAAAACTTCAAATATAAATCCAATACCTGCTAGATAATGAAAACAAGATGAATCTAAGATTAATTAAAATGAGTAAAAGCCCTAAATTATGACAACTTCTACTCCAGACTGATATATGCTGCAATATTTTCTTTCAAAATTGACGGCAAAATAAGGTACTTGTATGAAATAGAGCACCTGAAGAAACCCATGACCAACAAACCAAAACTCACACAAATTCTCAAGGTCTAATAGAATGGATACAAAATGCAGTGTATTCATTCAGCAGGAAGATGTTGGGGAATAGCAAACAGGAAATTAATACAATCACAGGAATAACTCAAAATTTTTCAGCAACAGCTGAATATTAATAGTTTCAATTTCCCAATCAAAAGGCACAGATTGGCAAAATAGACCAAGAAACAAAATCCAATGATATGTAGTATACAATAAAAACATTTAATCCAAAAAATACGCAGATTAAAAATCAAGGATAGAAAACAATATTCCATGTGACAGGAAACCAGAACAAAAGCATGAGTAGCTATCCTAATT